TGCAAACCCATCTGCTTCATCCTTTCATTTGCAACACACAACAACTCAGTCTGTTGAGATACTGATTTATCCATTTAGCTCCACCTTTACAGAAATTTACTCTATCAGAATAATTTGTGTTTTGGTGTACTTCATTTTAGTTTCACTGGTAGTTTTAAAGACATTGTTGGTAGTGTGCTATTCTGGAATGTTGCTATGTTGCAGAGAGTAACCAGATAGTGTGAGAGAACTGCAAACCGTGCTCGGATATTCTAACGGAGGGACAGTGAACAGCATAAAGCAGATGCTGGCTTTGTGTATGAATATTTAAGTAACTGTTTGAGTACTGTGCCCACATTAAAAAAGGAGCTGAAAAAATTAAGACAATTCAGAAAAGAGGAGTAAGATCAAAGATTTATTTTTCTAAAGAAGAAGAAATATTAGGCCAGATAAACGCTTATAACATATTAGAGCAGTGTGGAAGATATAGAAGCAGCCCAATTTAGAGAACATAAAAGGGAAAGATGTTGTACTTTTACAAGAAGTGCTGTAAAAACTTGAATGTAGTCAGCTAACATTTCAATATCATTCTGGAAATACTAAAGCTCAAATACGAGACAGACACCCAGAATAAAGACATTGAAAAGCATGTTCAAGAAATATGAAAATGTTATCATTAGAATTCAGTTAAAAGAACAACATTCAAATTAGGATATTGTCCATTATTCTTGACAAAAAAAAAAAAAATGAATAAGAGAACATATCTCCTGTCGAGTCTTAGCTGGCACCTCTAAGGGGAACTCTCTGCACCAAGAACTTGAAGTGAACTTTATTAATTCACTTCAGGGAGAGGCTTAATTAATGTTTAGACACAGCTGACTCTATTAGCACTAGTCCTACAGGTGTCAGGGTTTACAGCTTTGATTTTAAATATGTAAAGGCCTTTTGCATGGAATCAAAGCATGAGAAAATTAGGACAATTATGTAAGATTCAAGAAAACTTAGACAAAGTACTGTTAATAATCTGTGCATGATGTTAATTTTGGAAAGACTGAAATGGCTGAGAAGTTACAACCTAGTCCTGGTTGTACAAGCGTAACAGAGGCAAAACACTTCAAAAGAAGATTAACAGAAAACTGACTTCAAATTATTTTGCTTTCTGAATCAGAGCATCGCCACACAGTATTTTGTTATACTTCCACAGCACACATATTGCCAGTGATTTTATTTCCACTTACCTGCTTACATTTGTCCTCAGCTGCCTTCTTATCCGTCTCAGCCTGCTCTGCTCTGTCAATGGCATTCTCTTTGTCTAACTTCAACATCTGCATCTTTTTCTTAATAGCTTCCATTTTTGCTCAAGGACAGGCTGGATCTGTCACACAACTAAAAAAAATCTGATTAGTAAAATTCTAGATTTTTAACAGCTTGGACAGAGAAAGAAGTTGTACCCAGGCAAGTCACAGGGAAAATGAGCTACAAGTGGTCTTAGAGAGCTTTAAAACCAGAGGCCCCCTGGACAAAACCCAGATCTATTGGCCTCTTCTCCGGTGTTCTATCCACAGCCTTTCTAAGGAATAAGCTGGAACAGACTCACTAGAGGAATCTTCACCACTCCATCTCCTTATTTGGGTCCTGTTTTCTTAAAGAGAAAACTGTTTCCATTTTTAAGCTTCTGACAGAAGCAAAAGTGTTGACATATGAACACATGCTTGAAAAAAAGCTGATTAGCTCCCCTTTGTGTGCGCAGAGCAATTAACCAGCCCAGCAGATCTTGGGGATGGCCTGCCTTCCTGGAATAATGGCATGAGGCTAATGAAGGGAAGGATCTCTTTAGGTTACTCCAAAATAAATCCATCCATAAAATAAATAAATAAAATTTTTGAAACATCTATGCTTAAGAGGTAGCTAAATTTAAGTTATAAAAAGATGCAGGATATGAGACAGCAGAGGTTTTTTGATGTAAAAATAAGCACTGGTGTTAAGGAACTAGCTATAATGTGTGATAGTATAACACATAACAGAGCTCAAATTTAGATGTCAAGTTCAGGCTCAAGGCAAACTCAGTGAGTTTGAGTGCCTGTCCTTGAAATTTCCCTCACTAAATACTTGGGGAACTGAACAACACCTGAAGTCACAGTCTGATGAGCACCCTAAATGATTCCTTCTGCTGTATGAAGGAGTCACCTTCACTCTGTCAGGGAAGAGCAGGCTCTAGGGAGAACAGGAGCAGCTCCACTGACAAAGTGGAGCTGTTCCACCAAGCAGAACATCCAATAGCCCCAGAACGAGCTCTGCTTCCTTTTGCAGCTCTATTAAATGCATCCCCAAAACCATTCCATCCCTTCACATGCTCTCGCTGAGCATCACAGCCCAACACAGCCTTGTCCTGACTGCTCTGAGGTTCTGACGTAAGGCACCTTCCAGGGCAACCAGGCAGCACTTTGTGACTTTGCTACCCTGGCACCTGCATAAAGCCATGGCATATACTGAGATGGATCCCACAGGGATCATCAAGTCCAACTCCTGGTTCTGCACAGATACCCTAACAGTCTCATCCTGTGCCTGAGTGTTGCCCAAACACTCCTAGAGCTCTGGAAGCCTTGGGGCTGTGACTGTTCCCTGGGGAGTATGTCCAGTGCCCAGCCACCCTCTGGGGGAAGAACCTTTTCCTGATACCCAGCCTTCACATTCCCCCAGTTCTTTCCCCAGTCCAGGCCCTGTTGAGCATACAATGCCCCTTCCGTCCTCAGTTCTGCCATGCTCTGCTCTCTGCAGCCCTGTGCTCCCTCCCATGTCACTCGCAGCCTGAACTTTCTGTACAACCCCTCCATCCCTCCGTGCAAGTGCTTACAGCATCCCCAGCCATAAGGGCACCAGGACACTTGGCACAAGACTCACAACTTCCCCATCCTCTGGGGCAGAGCTGGCACAGCACTGAAAGGTATTTGGGAGGGACTTTTAAGGAAAAATCTGCCCTTTATTGAGCTAAACATGATGGTAGAGTGGACATGAAGCCAAAACCAGCACAATGCCTGTGGCTGGGATAGAGTTGATTTCCTTCCCATTGGCTGGTACGAGGCTGTGGTTTGAATTCGTTCTGTACACAGGATTGAAAATATAGTGATGTTCCTGTTATTGCTGAGTTTGCACAGAGCCAAGGCCTTTCCTGCCACTTACAGAACCATGCTGGGGAAGGGGCTGGGGGTGCCCGAGAGATTGGGAGGGGAGACCCAGCCAGGATATTCCAGATCTGACATCACACTCAGGATATAAATGGGGAGAAGGAGGAGCAAATGGGGAACTTTTGGAGAGATGGCATTTGTCTTCCCATGTCACCATTCCATGGGATGGGGCCCTGTTCTCTCCTGTTGCGCCTGGGCGCAACACCTGCCCACAGGAATTAATTCCCTGTTTTCCTTCGCTTGTGTGCACAGCTTTTGTTTTCCCTATTAAACTTTCTTTCAACCCACGAGTTCTCCAGCTTTTACCCTTCTGATTCTTTTGATCCCGCTTGTGGGCGAGCAAGTACGTGGCTATGTGGTGCTTGGTAGCCAGCTGGGGTTAAAACACGACAACGATTTGCAGTTGTTTAAGTAAAAATTAATTAATTTTACGGAAACCGCCTGATGCGTGGTCTCCACCGCCCACCCCAAGATGGCTGCCGCGAGTCCCCAGGGGCTGTGCTGAGGTTGGCTCCAAGATGGCGGCGACCGCGGACTTCGGCTCCCGGCGGGCTGTGGGGTCCGTCCAGCGAGGCCCCGGCCCCGCCCGCGCCGCGCCCTTACGAACGGCGGCGGATACCCGCAGGTGCTTGGGTCTGCTTTTTCTGGGTGTGTTTTACCTACCCTTTTTCCCCCCCCTTTTTTTCTTTTTCTTTGGTTGGTTGGTTTTGTTTTAGTAGTAAAGAAATATTCGGAATTTTTAACAGCTCTAGGTTCAGTGTTTGCTTGGAAGCTAGTGCTGGCACTGGCACTTGGTGTGTGCCTGTATCCCTCTGAACAGTTCACATAATTAAATGTACTTTTCCCAGGTACCTCTGCGGCCCCCGGGCGTTTCTTTAGTCAAATTCCAATAATTTCTAAGCTGTTCTGTGAATTGAACAGTGGAAGGTAAAATCACGTAGGACCCCAGCCTGGAGCAGGTTTAAGGCACAGGGGTGAAGCATTGTGTTATCAGTGTTTCCAAACCTTGAGAAATGTCATTACAGCCCAATAAACCATGTTAATCACAATCACTTGCACTTCTCGCCCTCCTGCCCTGGAAGTTTGCTGGCTCTGCAGGGGTTTGGGGGTGAAAACCCAAGGAGCAGAGTGAGGGTCAGTGCTGGTGACCACAGGGTGATCACAGGACACAGGAGGTCATGGCAGCCACAACTGTGATGCTGCTGCTGCCTCTTCAGCACAGCCCTGGTGATATGCACCAGATTTTTTTTGGAAAATACACACTTTTAATAACTTTACTCAGCTGGCTGCAACCTGGTGGTCCAGCTCACATTGCTCCTGTCTGCTCAAACCAGCTGGCTGTGTTTTATGGCTATTTCAGGGCTTCCTTCCCTCAATCATACTACGGCTGTCATCCAGCCTTCAGACATGTTTCACCTCGTGGTCCTGCATGCCATGAGGCTGGATGTGCCACAGGCTCTCTGACTCAGAGGAGCAAGTTTTGGGGTGTAGTTTGAAGACACAAGGGGAGGTAACGGAGTGGGAAGGGCTGTGTTAGCCCTGTTTGATCCAGCACATGTAGGAACTTGTGGAATGGAGGCTGATACAAGGCTGTGCGTGCTGCTCCTTGGGACAACAGCTGCTTATACCCTTAGGTGTGCATTTTGAGCTGTTCCTGTGGCTGCTCTCACAGCCTCTTCATAATTTCTATGTTTGAGAGAAGCACAAGTGGTTTTCCAGTCAGTTCACCAGTCCCCTTCCTGCCACGGGCTCGGGCAGGCCTGGAATCAGGGCTGGGGAAGCAAACACCGAACAAATTCTTTTTCCTTTCTATTTCAACTGCAGGAAGATAATTTTTCTAAGCAACTCCATTGCATGACTCAGACTGACATTTAGAAAGGAACATCAACAAACATGTCACCCTCTGTAGCCCTTCAACCAGGTACATGCCCTTCTTCCCTTCCCTGCTTCAGGAGAGAAACACCTGAAGAATTCAGTGATGATAATCCCATCAGTCCCACAGCCTCTGGTTTTCATTAGCTTGGGAAACAGTAAGCAACCAAGAGAGAAAGAAGAGCACTCTAAACCATTTCTTTTTTTTCCTGTTCATTACAGGCAGGCAGGAAGGTACTTTACAGGCAGTAAAAGTTCCTTTGTTTTTCCTTTTCTTTCTGAGGGATTGTTTGGGCTGAGCAAAGCTTGGCAAGGTTGGTGTGTAAATATGAGAGGATACCAGAAGGAAATTAAGTTGGATTGTTGGAGAGTGTGCTCATTCCTTTGGCAGCAGGCTGCATGGGAAGCTTGTCACAGCAGGCATCTGAACAGACTGGGGGTGGTCAAACTTGTGGCCTGAAGTCTGGCAGGTCTCAACATTTTCTCTGCTGTCAATCCCTACTCTTTTTTTGTGGCCCAGGAGTTAGCTGAGACCCACAGCATGGCTCATTTCACTAACTGGAAAAAACAGACACTTTATATCTCCCAGTTTCTCCTGCAGCTCCTTCTCTGCTCCAAACTTCGGTCATAAAGGATCTCCTTCCTCTCTCACAGATTGAGCTCCAACTCCTCATATACAAAGCTGCATGTATCAAAGCTAGAAGCAATTCAAAGCAGAAGAAAGAAGCTGATGATAGTCCTTTACCAAATTCCTTTATTTCAGTAAAGTAAGTATCTCCTAACAATCCACTATCTTGTAAATTTTCTGTTATAGAAACTACATAATATGGTGTATCAGTAGAAAGGGTGGCACTAGAATGAACATCCAACTTGTCTCTTCCTGGCATTTCCTGTTAAATGACAAGATCTGTAAACTGTCACATACCAGTGAATTTTTTGTTCTGTGGGCTGTCCCTGCAGGGTGCTCTCCCTCTACCCTTCAGTGTATGTGCCAGTACCAACCTGAAATACCCTCTCTCTGATATGTTCTCATTAAGTATCCACTACTGACCACCGATGAACCCAAGGTCCAGGGCTGAGTGGGATGAAAATAGTAGATCTGCTTTTCCTGTGCCTAGATCCAAGGGAAATCTACCTCTTTTCTTTAATAATCCTGGTTACATGCATTTCCCAGCAGGATCTTTGAACACCTGAGATAATGAATTTTAGACTGATTTAAACAGGATGGCAGAATTCACTCAATACCTGAAATACACACCTGGTTGGGAAGCCTGCCTCACTGTCAGCATAGGGTGCAGCAGAAGAAAGCAAATCCCACCCTGAATATATGCTGATATTTCTGGCTAATGCAGAATGGAGAGGATCCTAGAAAATAAGGAGTCGGCAGCCTATACTGCAAGATTTTGGCTACCCTTCTTTTCTCTGGACTGCTCTTCATCGGTGAGACCTTTCAGCTGCAGAGGCAGGATTTGCATTTAAAGCAAAGGACTATCCCTGCAGGCCAACTCCTCCTTGTTTTTTGCTGTTCCAGCCCATTGCTGGGCCACAGCCAACGCTTCAAGCTCTCCCTTGCCGTTAGATGGCAATGCAGACCCACAGATTCTCTCTCTTCATTGAGCCTCTGGAAAATGATGGTGCTGCAGCTGGAATGGCTCATAGAGCCTCAGATCTTCTGTTTCTGCCCATCTCACTTTTGAAGACTGAGGCACCTGAATTTGTTTCACCTGAAAGGAATGGAGCTGGCTGCCTAAGATGGCAGCTCCTCTGAGTCCTCAGTGGCATTAGAATTTGCTGTCTCTCCATCCAGGACCTCCTTTGTGTGCAGAGGTTCGGTTTTTTTGCTCTTCTATCAGTTAACTCATTTATCTTTTGTTTTATTGTTTCCACCACCATTTTGTTGTCTTGCTTATTCTCAGCTTATAGCCAACCCTCTCAGGCGAGTGAGTCATGGGCTGCCTCAGGCCAAACCCCAAGGATACAGACTTCTTCTGAGGGTCATGAATCTCCAATCTGGGAAGTTATACTGCAGTGAGAAATAGCTACCACCACAAAATGCTTTCCTCCATATCAATTTTTCTGCTTTTCCATTGTCTGCACTTGACTGGTTCATTTAACATGTGCATTACCAGTATTTTTTTCCTTCACATTACCTTTTCCACCAGAAAATGTCACCAACTCACATCCAACTTTTGCTCAGAAAACTTGCAGGTTCATTTGTGTTCCAAAACCTCAAAGGTTTGCTCCTTCAAAACTAAATATAAATACCTTTTTATTTTCCTGGAGCCAGTTTGAAGTTCATTTCCATGCCAAACAGTCCACCGACTCCCAGTAGTGTAGTATTTTTGCTGGGTAGTTGGCCAGAGCAGTTGTAGGGCCTTTTGGAGTCTGATTTGGATACTTGCAGCAGGATCTGCTTTACTTGGTCACTTCAGCTGTGCTAGTGGCAGAAATCCTTATTTGTAGCAGAAGGAATGACAGTATCATCTTTTTAAAAAAATATGTTGTACTGGTGGAGCAGATGAGAGCTCCTGGCTGTGGCTTAGAACAGGGCAGGAAGATGTTGACACTTTCCCTAATGCCGGGAAAGGTTGGGTGGTTGGGGCTCCGCTTGACACTCATAGCTCCCATATACCTTAAAGTAAGCACCTTCCAGCTTTTCTGGATTTAAAATGTCTAAACAAGGAGGATTTTGTCTTAATCCCCAGGAGAAGTGCTCCTCTATCACAGAAAGGCTCCTTTTTTGTTGGTGCACAAGAAGTTAATAGTGTTCCTAAGCCCTTTTGCAATTGTGAGCAGTGTGCTGCAGATAAGTTGTATCAGGAGAAAGCGTTATCAGTTGGGCTTACATATTTTGTGCTTATCCATTGGACTCTAAAAAGCTGTTGCATTTAATAACTCATTTCTCAAAGCATTTATTAATCATTTATTAGCTCTTTGTTCATTTGCTGTAGATGTAGGTTGACATATAAAGTGAGCCCAGTCATTTCATAACCAAGAACATCTCAAGAGGAGTAAAGCACTGAGTGATAGGAAAGGACTTACTCATCCTGGCACGTGGTGGTACAGCTCTAGTTGGGGCCTCTGGTACTTTAGAAATATAAGTACCAGTGGGTTAAGCTGCCCCATCACCTGAGATATCTGAGGCACTGATGAATTAAGTGACAGCTGCATATTGGACTGAAGATTTATAACCTTGTTTTATCACTGTATAGCCTGCACAGCCATTTACTCTATGAATGAAACTTTCCCAGCCTCCTGCTCCCCAGCACCTAATGTGGGTGTCAGAGTTCACAATGCTGCAGCCTTCCCTCTGCACCTTTGGTTAATGGAGCAGGAGAACAGTGTTTGGGTTGAGAATGTGGCCACCAGCTGAACTGAGTCTTTTTGGGAGTCTGACAAAAAACCCCCTCTTAGTACCCTGTGTTGTAGAGCTGCGGGTACAGAGTCTGGTCAACCTGACCTGGGTGGTCACCTCTCATGCTTTGTCCCTTGCTCTGTCTCTGCTCCCAAACATAAAGTCACCCCAAAGAAACAGCAGAGGAAAATCCCTAGTGTTTAGCACTGCTGGCCACAAGTCCTGGGATCAGAGGGCTTCAGGGAACAGCAAAAGGTCTGCCTTGGCAAAAGAACAGCGCTGGCTGCGTGATTTCCTCAGAGACTTACAGGTTCTGCCAGGGCAATCGGGGTCAGATTTCTCCCAGATGTTTCAGTTTCCCTATGATTGCTACCAGAAAATAAAGAAACCTTTATTCCCTAGCAGCAAGAAACCTTTATTTCCATATTGAAACATTTATTTCCTTATAAAAACCTTTATATTTTCATTGAGCAGCATCCCAGTTCTTTGTTGTCCTTTTCAATGAGAACAGCACAGTAACAGCAAAACAGCCACTGTCAAACAAACAACCCCACCAAAAGCCCACCTACCTAAGAAATGAATGTCTCTTCTGTCATTATGAGAAGTTATAAGGCCCAAGATCATCTCAACCATCTTGAGACATTTTAACAAAGCACCTAATTTAGGCAGGTGTCTCTCTTTTGCTCTAGTCGATGGAGTAAAGAAGCTCTGAGAACAGGAGACATTTTATAAATGCTGTTGCTTTATTTCTTCTGCCCCTAAAAAAATCACAGCCCACCTGGGTTTTAAATTACTTTTCAAGCTTTCCTAATGAATGTCTCTGAATATTTGCATGTCTTTTGTTTTGTTTTGTTTGCCCTCAATATGGGGAAAAGCTTAAGTCAACAAGTTTTTATTTGATTTGTAAATAATGCCAGAGTGACACTTTATTATGGATTCCCAGAACTTCGACTCCATGTCTTATCCTCCAGATATGACATCCCAGAGACATCACCAGAGACAGGCTGCCAGGTGCAGGGTAGGGGACAGAAATTAAAATAATTTTGAGGAGAGACCATATAGAACTTTGCCTCGTACGTCTGTTTAGCCCACAAACCATCAGGAACTGGTGAAATAATTGCTTTGGACAGATAATAAAGCATCCTCAAGAAAAACTAAGCTGTTTAATATACTGCTCAAGTCAATTTCCCTTATATCTGCTGTCTTCTTGCTTTTAATAGTGGTTTAATGAAAAATCCAGAATTAATTGAAACTGGCATTAGACATTCACATGTTCCAGTGAGGATTTCATTGCTTCAATATTTCATAAGCTGACTTCACTGCTCTGCTTCTCCTTATCCTGCTTTCATAGGCTAGGATAATCATCCCTTTTCATAAAATGAAGGGTCCCAATGTGGGCAGATGGGGGAACATGAGGAAAGTTTGCAACCACATAATCGGCAAAGAAATAAAAATAATGGCTGCTTTCTTCCTGCCACCATTCCCCCCTTTCTCTATAATGATTTGCATCTGAGCCTTGATGGGAAAGAGCTGTCCTAAAAATAAACAGGATCTGTCTGAAAGGTGTCTGAGGGAGGTATTTGGCAACTGTCAGGCTGTCACGTATACTAGAACGATGGAGCTGATGGACTCACTGACACCAGACAGGCTCTGCTGAAATGAGGATGCCTTATGCTTCCCTTGGCATTCACTGGGCAAATTCTGTTGGCCAAAGCCATCAGACCACGGTGTGTCTGGGGCCTGTTCCAGGTCTGGCTGCCGTCAATGAGAGTCTGTCCTTGGATGGCTCTGGGAATTGGATCAGACCCTTGCTTTTCCCCTGAGACTCTGGCTTTACACCAGGGATGAAGTTTGGGTCCCTAAGGCAATGTCATCCCAATGGAGATGGAATCACCAGGCCCTGGGCTTGAGGGTTTCTGCAGGTTTCTGAAAATGAGACCCCTCACTGACATACCTGGATGTGGGTTCCACAGACTGACCTTTTGCCTTTTCTTGGTTTTAACAGCTTTATCCCTCAGTTTTTCCATCTCTAATAGGGGTAGTGTTGTTCTGTCTTCAAGGTTATTGGCATATTTGTAGATCCAGGCATCCATAAATGCTCCCAAACCATGACTGTACTAAACGCTGTTTCCCACAAGGTGTGTAATGAACATGTGTTACACCATAGTGCAGTCATAAGGTGAGTGAACAGAAACATGAAGGCATGACATGACTCATCTCAAGCCTTTGCAGCAACTCTGTGGCAGAGCAAGGACCCAAGAATCCCAGACCCACCAAAACAATCATACCTTTGGAGTGACTCAGGCTGAAAAGAAAATGTTGCCACGTGGAAGCTTCAGTTCTTCTCAGTTGCACAGGGAAATCTCCACTGCCTGTGTAAGTGAAGATATTTGCTGCTGTTCTTGGCAGAGACATAATGTGCAGGGGAGGGAAAAGGGAGGTGTGGAAGAAAGGTGGACACCTCCTTGTTCCCCCATGGGAGAGTGGACACTTTTCTTATTCTCAATGGGAGCTGACTGCTGCCTTATCTGAAAATCAGACTGTTTTGTTATCTTCTAGGCAAGAGCAGCTCCTTTTTAGTGAAGAGCAGACCCTGAACTCAACTGTCTTGCAGTCTTTGGTCAGAAAATACTGGTCTATGTTGAGAAGAATGAACGAGGGAATTAATGCCTGTAATATGGACTGCAGAAAAGTCACCTACAAGATAAGAGGGTGACTTGATCTTTTTGAGAAAAAGAGCAAAAAAGGCTTCCTTATCTCATGGCGTTTGTTCTGAAGTATCATCTTGTGACTGCCAGAGTCTGCCTTGCAGGATCAGTCAATTACAACCTGTGGCTGATATCAACTCCTTCCTTTCAGAGGTGGCATTGTATTTCCCCAAGTATGGCTGGTTCCTCTGGGCACTTCAAGGCCTCTGTGCCACCTGTTTGCCTGCTATGCCTCCAACCCTGTGCTGCTGATCCCACTCACGTGTTGTGCTGCACAGGAAATGATCAGCCCTGCAATTAGACAGCGATCTGAAAGGACAAGGAAATCAAGACAGTGAACCATGAGGAGCTTGAGTGAGTCACTATCAGATATATGAGAGTATGACGAGGAGTGAATGAGTCCTACCCCTTCTGGAGGGCCCCAGATTGTTTGTGAACAGTAATTGTGCAGATCAGGGGGGAATCTGCACTGCAATGATGAGAGGTGCTCACACAGCTGGGCTCTATCAGGGTGCTGTGGCTCTCCTCTGTCAGGAATTTGTCACTATGCAGCTGTACTTTTCTTCATTAAAATGGCCATGTTAAATAGCTATGAGGTTGCTAAATGCCTACTTTGCTAACTGATCTTCTCCCCAGCTAGAAGCTTTTTACAGCAGGAGACATGAGGTTGCTAAACCCATTAATTTCTCACATGCACCCACGTTTCTAATGTCTGGGGAGATCCAGCATTAAAAGTCCTCTGCGAGCCACTGGAATGAAGAGCACTTCGTGAAGACACTGTAATTATTATGGGATTTAGGGGTGTGTTGAAATGATTCACGGAGATGTTTCCCAGCCAGCAGGCTCATGAGGCCAGGTGAGCTCTTCCCTGGAATGTGAAGCATGCAGCATGGCAACTGTGAGAAACAGGTTTGGCAGGACGCTTTAAGCTGTTTGCAGCAGACAGCCTCTTCAGAGCCACATCCCTGCTTTGCTGATCTCCCAGCTGGATGCTCCGCTCTGCCACACTGGCCCTGCTGAGCTGGAGAGGATGGACACACTGCGCAGGAGCCTTTCTCGATGGAAGAGGTACCACATTAAGGTGCACCTGGCTGATGAGGACCTGATGATGCCCCTGACGGTCAGGCCCAGGGACACGGTGATGGACCTACGGGCTCTCTTGGTACGGGAGGGCATCACTTCCTGGAAGAAGACATTTTATTACAACTCCAGGCAGCTCGAGGAGCACGAGACTCTCAAAGAAGCCAATATTCAGAATGGTTCTGTCCTCCTCCTTGTCAGCAATAAAAGGTAGGCAAGGAGCTTGTCTGCTGTGGGGGCGGTGCAAAGGAAGGGGAATGCTCGTGTGTCTCAGGCCCTTGGGGCACTTTCTTGTCAGGGTTTGCAGAATGCAGACCGGGAATTCAAATCCTGCCGTTTCCAGCAGGATTGAGACTGCAGGCTCTTCATATCCAGACATGCTGTGCTGTGAAATAAACAGTTCAGAGGAGGAAATTTGGTTGCTGCTGCCTGTCCTGTCTCTGGTCAGGTCTTGTTTTCCTGGATATGTGGCAAGCACAGAGGGAGAGAAAGGACAAGGAAAAGGGCAGGGGAGATTGTGTGACATGGGAAGAGTGTTCTGGGAACCTCTCACTTGTCCTTACCTGTTGTGTCTGTGTCTCCCTGCTTCTCTGTAGTAAATACTTTCTGCAGGTATTTGGGGGTGGCACAGTCCTGCTGTGACAGAAGAGCTGTGAGCCACCAGCTTACAGCAAAGCATGAGCAGTGCTGGAAAGGGATGGCAAGAGGCTGCAGGTGCCCAAAATGTGTCTGAATCACAGTAGAAAGTACAGTGAGACTAGAGACTCCCAGGAGAGCCATTGCATGGGAGATCAATCACAGTAAGCACTATGTTCTAGTGGGGATGAAAGCTGAGATAATGGACCTTGGACTCACTGGCCCACAGGACAGTTTTGATTCAGTGTGGTGAATTTATGCCCACCTGCACTGTCTTTCCTAATGCCTGGTTGTTGCTGCCAGCATGATTAAATCTGTGAAGCATTTTAGGGATACTGGGTAGAAGAGGTATGTTGTGGGCATGTTGTGTCTAATTCATCTTTCTAAATCCTGAGCCCTCTGAGTTATGTGTCTATGCTGATCAGTTTCATCTGCAGAAAAACCTGCACTAAGAACTTCAGTTCCTGATTATATCCCACCTACTGGAATGGTCCTATTTTCCAGTCCAGAGGCAGCTTGAAATCTCACACAAAGAAGATTTAATAAAGCATTTCCTTTCAGAGCTCAGCAGACACGAGAGATTTCACATCACTCAGCTAACTGCAAACCCCAAGCCCAACCCACAGCCCATTCTCATTTCAGTTCTCTGATAACTTGGTTCAGCTCCTCCTTTTCACCTGTTTTTTAATGACAGAAGCACTTCTATTTGTTGTTGTTTCCAGTATTTATTTTCCTAATTTTTACAGTGTGAATTTTTGAGAGTAAAAAAGGATTTGGAGGATCTGAGCTGATGGAGTTGATGCTTGTTTGGTAGATGCTTGGTTTCCATAGCGTGCTGTGCACCTTCCCACATGCTGCAGAAGCGGGGTGTAACTGCAGCAATGAAAACTCACTAGGAGATCCTGCCCCAGTGTGCTGAATTCTGAGGGCCCAGCTGAAGTCACTGGCCATTTTTGAAAATCTAGAGCCTGTTGCTCAAAGTCCCAGCTCATTTTTTGTGAGTACATTAAAAAGGGAGTGGGAATTCTAATATTTTTTCCCTTGGATATTCTGAAAAACTTCCTGGTTCCTAAACAAGCACCTTTGACCAATTTCATATTGCTTTTTCCAGGTCTGGGTGCAATGTGGGGAGTCTCCAGTCTCTACCTGAAGTCATGTCTCCTTGATTTTTTTGACATAAAGAATTATTGGGTTGTGCCAACCTTGCCCACTCCCAAAGGGTTTTCTGTAGCATGTAAATGTCCAGATACATTTCTCTAAAGGATCATGGGTTGACTGAACTATGGCAGGATAATTCCCTTAGATATTTCTGAGATGTGTTTGTGTGTGTCTAGGCAGTCACCACCCTGCGTGGGACAGTCTTGGGCTGAGGGCAGGGTGTGTGACTCAGCACCTTGCCAGGTCTTCAGCACAGAGAGGTTTTAGAGGATTTTAGATGCCTGTCTCTCGCTGCCACTGGGATTTAGGAAATACAGAGGGAGAAGGCTGTATTGTAGCTGAGATTACAGTACCAATTTGAGTCTTAACATTACTCAGTTCTTTATGTATTATAAGTCCATGTTGCATCGATAGTGACTTTGGAAATAAACTGGCCTATATCAGCTGGGCAACAGTGAATAACCATGGGGGCTGTAACAAGAGTAGCCCATGCAGTGTTGGGACTGTTGGGGAGCCACAGGAGCAGAGAGGATAGTGAGAACATAGTGTTGCATTTGGCCAGCAAAAATCTTAAATCTTGAGGATTTAAGAGTTGGTTTTAATGTTTCACTAGCTCAGTGAAGTATGAACCCTCCCCATCAAAGGCAAGCATCTACTTCTTCAGTTCCCCCTGAAAAATCTTAATGTCTCCTACTTACTCTTATGTACTGAGGTATCAGCCAAACAGAGTGCTATTAATTCCAAAAGTGGAGTTGCTGTGATTGCCAAGGTCTGCAGCTTAGTGTCGTGCCTATAAATATTAATGGTCACTCTGCATGCTGTGTGTTCCTGCAATGGGCTCACAGGACAGTTTGCTTTGAACCAGAGAAAACATGAAAATGACCCTATTTTTCATCTTCCCCTCCCCACTTAATGCCTTTGTAGATAATTGGCATTTAGCAAAGGCCAAGTCAGCATTTCCACTTCTTGTTCATATTTGCTGGAGTTTGTAACATAGTCATAAAAATTCACTTAAGGCAGCAGCTTGTCAGGAAAGGGATCACCATACCAGCTAATGCTAAAAATTTATTTAGACCTTAATGTTTAAAAGTTTGTACAAGACGTTTTGGAGATCAGTCAACATGACCTCTTGCCCTGGCAAAACACATGGACTGGCCAGAACTGTGAATATCACATCCACCTAGGATGCAGTTCCCCCTTGTGCAGAGCCTGTTAATCACATTACTGCTGTGCTGACTGAAATTGCAATCCTGTTGCAGTAGAGGAGCAAAGAACTTGCTGAAAAACAGTTTCTGCCCTAGAGAATGACATATTACAATAACATGGTTTGCCACTGGGTAAAACAAGCAAAACAAGGGTTGAAAGGGAATGAGCAAGCAGAGAAATGCCCCAGCTCAGTGGCCATCAGCCAGCATGTGGTGTTCAAGCCATCAGTGCCTAACAGGAGACCAGCAATGGGTCTTGGCATGAGCAGAACAGCCACCCAGCATGGATGCAAAAGCATCCACGGGCATGCAATAGGTTGTCCCATACGCCCAAGGCGTGATCAGTCCTGGCACTGTGGACCACGCCATGGCAGAACCCGTTTGGCTTGCTCTGGAGGCAGTGCAGGGCCCCAGAGCCAGGGAGGTGCTCAGCTGGTCTGGTGGTGACGTGGGAGTTCCTGAAACTGGCATGACTCTTCCTGAATTTTGTCTGCTGCAGTGAGCTGCCCGGAAGCTCTTTGCTGGCTGTGTGCAGTGGAGCACCAGTCAACAAGACCAGCCATGTGAGCAGTGAGCAGCAGTGCTGGATAGTGGGCATATGGAATTAGCTGCTCCTTGCTGGTCATTTGTTGGCTGTGTTTCGATGTTCAATGGGAGATGGAGGAATATTGCCTTGAACTGATGAATCCCCTACTTAACCCATGAACTGTTTCAAATAGAGGATGTCAGTGGTAGATCCAGAGCAATCCCTAGATATGCCCAGCATGCCTGTCACTGCCTGTTCCTAGGGATGTACGGCTCCAGCTGGATCTGTGTGTGGTGTAAGTGCAAGCACATTGACAGAGCCTTTGCTCTTGGTTCCAGGCTCCTCTCCTGTGCAGTCTCCTCTAGCAGCCACCCAGGCAAAGTCTGTGCTGATAAATGAAGCAGTTCCTGGACTTCCTTCTGTTACAATGCTGGAGTATTACACTGCAATTTTTGGCTCAGTCCAGGTGCATTTCAGGAGCCAGCATGGGCCAGGGACTGCTCCTTATGGGATGCCTGAATGTGCCCATGCAGGTTTGGGGAGTAACCATTTAATAGAAAACCTTGTCTATTCTATGCAGGCTGTCCTCGAAATGCAGGAGAATGTCCCACATTTGATTTACTGGCACAGACTCAGCCACAGGATATGGGCTTTTGGAAGCTGTGGTTCATTGAGGCCACGCAGCTTTTCTCATCGCATATGGCTTGCCTGGAGAATGGAGTTCAGGAAGTCATTGGTGAATAGGTTAAAAAAAGTATACGACAGCACTGAGTCCAGCAGAAGTCTTTTACCTGGAATCTATTGGTGTTGATTTTTTGGCCTGGAGCCACCTGGAAGCATCTATCTCAGGGCATTAGCTCAGTTACCATAACAACTCATCTAGGAACAACTCCTGACAGCTCCAAGAGCAGACCAAGGTCCCATGCTGTATACTGTAGCCACTCTTGGGTCAAAATAAGCGTGTCCAGGTTCCTCCCTCTCCTGCAATCCAGCCTCAGTGTCCCTTGTGACTGGCAGTCCTTATATAAGCTTTGACATGCTTGGGAACCTGTTTTATTCTTCAGAGGCTGCTCAGTCTAGTTTTCCAAAGGTCCATCCACTCAAGGGTGGATATTTTACCTCCTGCCAGAACAACAAACACATCCATTGAGGAAGCCCACTGCATTCCCTTCTTGACATTCAGTTTACAGTGTCTGATTTTTTGAAACTATGAATGAAAACTATGCCACTTGCACAAGGTCCAGTTTAGCTGATGCTAAACTCCTGCCTACATTTGACTCCATGATGACATAAAGACCAATGACAGGCACTTGGCAGTGGCTCACTCCACACTCACATCACTATCCTATCACCCCTGCTCTCTGTCACCGGAATTGCCTGGGACACAGTCACCTAGCACAGCAGGTGATGTTGGACCTCTAGAAACAACAACAAAAAAGTGGGATCTACACAGTTTGACCCTGAAAGCTCAGACCTGAAGTAAGTTTTTTACTCTGAATTTCAGTGTGGTTTTGTGATGCCTGCTCTTTGCACTGACCCTCCCACTCCTGCAGTTGCTCAGCCATTACTCCTCAGCATGGAGGGGAGACTTCACCCCCACCCAACTTCCACAGTCCTGCCCTGTTAAGCTGAGGCCTAGCAGTGGGCTCTGAGGCATCTAACAGTAGGATAACGACCCTTTAAATAGCACTGGGAGTCTCTCTTCTCAGGGAGAACTAATTAAGCTCTTCAGTACATGCTTAGACATATGCTGACCTGGTATGGCCTTAACAGGTCCCTTCCACCTACCAGATAAATGATACTGGCTTAAAAATATCCTCCTGGAGATGTGTTACTGAGGCAACAGCCAGGTGGGGGGGCTGACTACATCTCAGTGGTAGAAGGCAGTATTTATGTGTATTATTCATGGGCTAGGCTCTCTGCTGGTGTACTCAGTTAAGTGATTTTTAAGTTCTGAAAGCACTGGTGCAGTTACCTCTGCTGACACCACACAGCACACAGGCCAGACAGTCACACCTGTATTTAGCTCATTTACTTATTGTTCAGCCCAAGAAGCTCATTTAAGAAAAACACAGACATGTGGTCTACAGGATTTGAATTCCTCCCTGTGCAGTTGCATGGGATTGCAGTAGAAGAAACTGAGTTAATATGTCCCCCGGGGGACATATTGTCTCTAGGCAAAGAATTAATGAATGAGAAGTATATCCTAAAGTAGATTTCTTTCTGGTATGATACAGCCCAGCTTCCTGGACTTCTCTGTAGTTGTCCTGATTTATATCAGGTGAAGATTTTGCCCAGTTGGGATAAATCCCCACTCCTGTGTCATGGTGTTTTATGGAACAGATGTGCTACAGAGTGGGCCCACAGCAAACCCTTGGCTATCAAAATTCCCTGAAATTTCAAGTGAAGAAGAAAGTGCTGAAATATGAATCCTGTTTTGGGTTTTACAGGAAACCCAATCAACCAATGACTGATATCAGCCTTACTAGATGGATCCTTTGCTAGAACACAGCAAAAACTCCCACCCCATAGACTTCAATTTTCTCTAAGACCTGATAAAACATTTGCATCACAGGTTGATTCTTCTCAATTGAAAATGTAATTGCAAACAGCAATTTGTAGGAGTCAAAAGACCCAGTCCTACTTTTACTGGCTCACCTGGGTAGGGTGACTGCCTGGTAGAGTTGCTGTGGGCCATGAGAGCCTTAGTTGCAGTCCAAGGTGGGCTAATGAGCTCTCCAAGCAACTCCCAGCACCAAAGAGGCTACAAACTACTCCCCCTATAAACTTGGAAGAGCTTTAGGCTCTGTTCTGGAGACCCCAGGGGATGGCACTGGGTGATTTCTAAGGGTTTTCAGAAGAGTAACTTAGAAAATAATTCTACTTTTGCTAAGTTTAGGCCTTCTATGGAGGGTCTGGACCCTTGTCAGAAAATGATGATGGACCCACAACCCCAGAAAGCCGCCATTTAGTGCTAATGCCTGAGGGTGAATGTGTTGAGAGCAATTCAAGCTCTGTCTTACTGCAAACATTCTCAAAGTGCTTATAAAGCTATAGACTGCTCTCGTTCTAAGGTGTAAAATGGATTTCCAGGAGCAGGCACTAAAGAGGAAGAGCCTTGCTTATGAGAAAAAGACAGTTGTGGATTATCTGAAGGAGGATGAAGGCATCTGTGGATGGATGAACAGGTTTGAAACCCTGCAAGTGGCTTATTCTGGGTTATATAGTGTGACTGAAGAACAAAACCAGTCAGAGGATGAGGTTTACATTCTCCACACGTCAGGGTCAGTTCCTGCTTGGTCGAATGCCATTTTTGTTTGCTTGCCTATAGTGCTCCAAGTATTCGCCTCTTTCTTATTCAGATAATGCCAAAGAGCACAGCCAAAGCCATGAGAGACGGGGAGTGTGAGAAGGGCTGAAGGAAAGCAGATGGAAGAGAGCTTGCCCATGGAAAGGCAGTCTGGCCACCAGTGTTGGTAAGTCCCTCCCTGCATGCCAGCTCAAGGACTGTTCAGAAAGCAGCTCCAAGTGTTTTCAGCATGGTGCCCATGAATAATTAACCCAAACAAAACAACAAATAGTGTTTCCTCATCAGCACTCCATGTGGTCCCAGCTGCCAATGGAGGAGGGTAGTAAGACTTACTCAGCTCCTGAGAGTAATGAATCAGTGAAATGCACAGGAAAGGGGATTTCTGCCTGGGTAATGGAGCAAGAAGGAGCTGAGGTAGACTTTGCTTAGGGCCCTAGATGGGGACATGGGACATCTGAGCCTCCTTCTGACTTGTTCTCAGGATTCTGCAGAAAGTTGCTGGTCTTAGCTTTTGTTTTCCTACATGTAAATGTGAGATAATTATTTTTCCCTTTCACCCTGTCCATCCAGCTGTAAATGACTCAGGTTAGGACTGTCTGGGCTCAAGAATACTTTGTATACAGTGGAGCTCCATTTCCAGATTACAAGCTCTGTACAGCAAATGATTGATAAGTGCACTAGAGACAGTCCTGGAGCTTGGCAGCCTCTGTATGTCCAATGGACAGGAACTGGTTGGTCTCTGTTACAGCAAGCACCTCACCTGATGTCAGGGACCCACAAGTTCACCAAAACTGCCTCATTTTGGAGCCAGGGTTTATATGGCAATGAGCTTCCTTGTGTTCTTATAACTGCAGCTGATCCCCTGCTTTACCCTGCTCCAATAACTTCTGAACCAAAAATTCAACCCAATTAGATGGGAACAGAGAGGTCTCATAGGCCCAAAATTCCTGCAATTTTCATGAACAAACAGCAGCTGGATAGAAGAGAGACATTTAAGTTAATATTCTGTTGAAGGAAAGGTAATTACACCCCTTGCTCCCTGCCTATTTTGGGATGCAGCAGCCAGGTGACTAGATGGCATTTAGATACGACTGGTCAATCAGTTCCTGCCCAGTTTCAAACCAGCCCCTGCACTTGCTGCCCCTTCCCTGCAATGCAAGAAGCTGCTGGAACAGCCAAGGATTTTGCTGGGAAGTTCTGGAGGGCATCAGGTGCCCTGAGGATATTGCAGTAAGCTGGGAGCAGCAAGGAAAGAAGAAATAAAAAGCAGTTGTAATACAAATCAGAGGAAGAACAGGTTTCACCAGTTCCTTACTCACAGAACAACTTGATTTTTAGATTCAAACTTATTTTCAGGAAAAGAAACGGATGTTTCACTAATCTCTACAGTATTTTCCTGTGAAAATTCCAGTGACTGGTGACTCTTATCAAATGGCCCAGATTTTCATTGTCTGGTTTTTTTTGGCCATGAGAAAACACTTGATTCTTTTTTCCCAATGCAATTATTTGACAAAATGCTATGGAAAATAGAATTTTTCATTTTCCCAAAGAACAAAAATATTCCCCTAATAACATACTTAGACTTTGCAAGAAAAGAAATCTTAGAAATCTTAGAAAGAGATTCTAAGACAAAAACACGAATATAGTCACAGCTGAACATCTCTCAGTCCAAGCAACTGGGATGGACAGAGTGGGATGGGACTAAGTGTGGGAAGAGGGGATGTGAGTTTCCCAAGGTCAACCCACGAGGCAGGTGCTTGAGGAGAGCTGGTGCTGTTGGGTCAGCAGTTCTGCCACTTGGCCATGTGGCACCTCTGTGTGTCTGTCTATCCTGAAATAATTAATTTCTTGGAGCAGAGCCAGTACTTTCCTGAGTGCTTGGAAAGTGCCTCACACAGCCCTGGGTGTAGTCATAAATAATAATTAAAATTATAATAATAATATTAAAGTGGATGTGTGCCACTGGAGGTAGGACACACCGCACAACAGAGTCCTAAATCAATGCCCCTTATCTAGTAAAAGGTACAGTTTGCTTCACAAAGCTGGAGACAGGATTTGCTTCCTTGGGCTTGATAATCACAGTCATTAGCTCTGCAAAAGGCAAACTGACCTGAGCTGAATTAGGTCCAGAATCTACTCTAACACCTCATGCCTGTAGCTGGCAGTTCTGGTCAGCTCTGGAGGCTTTTTGCAGCTCAGGGGGATATCTGGAAAGACTAAATTAACTGTGGTGGTGTGGGGAGCTGCCTGGACTAATGTTTTCTTCAGAGATAGGCTTTGATTGACACTTCAAATCTGCCTGACAATCTTTTATTCTAAGCGCAGTTGCTGCCTTTCTTCAGAGCAGGAAGAGCTGGTTTGATGCATCTTATCACATGGGAAAAAGTAGGAAAAAACCCACAAACCACCTAGAAAGAGCCACAGGACCAGCATAAAAAGAGGTAAAACTAACTGGATCTATTTGAGACTAATCTATTCTGCTTTTTTTCTGTATGCCACGATCCAATGCAAGACACTTGAGAACAGGGGATGTGCTCTGAGGAACAAGAACTGACTGTTTTTCTTCTTTGTTTGCCTGTTCATTGCGTTGTTTCCTGCAATAGATTTGTTTAGGACTTTGCTGATATGTCCTGTTAGTGATGAGAGAATCATGGAATACCCTGAGCTGGAAGGGACCCACAGGGATCATCAGTCCAGCCCCTGGCCTTGCACAGACACCCCAACAATCCCACCCTGAGCATCCCTGGCAGCACTTGTCCAGATGCTCCTGCAGCTCTGGCAGCCTTGGGGCTGGGACCATTCCCTGGGGAGCCTGGGCAGTGCCAGCACCTCTGGGGGAAGAACCTTCCCCAACATCCAATCTAAGCCCCCCTGGTAAGCTCCAGCAGTTCCCTAACATTTCCAGTCCCAGTGCTGGGAAGACAGAGGGATAACCTCTTTTACTCAGTTGTTTTAAACTGCCTGTTCTACTTGTCCTCCCCATGCTGCCTCTCACTCCTAGTTGCAGGTATCCTTAATGCTTGCTGTGTGGTGGGAACACACCACTCAGCTGCAGTCAGAACTTTTATAGTGTAATTTAGACACTGGGGGTTTACCTGAGTCTGGCCAAGAAGGCTGGACCACCAAATGGGCAGAGGGGTGCTCCAAATCCTTTTCTGGAAACACCTAGGGAAAAATGTCTTTTATTTGAGATGTCTTGTCTCACTTGCTTTTCTAGGTCCTTCAAAACCAGGCTCTTCAGAGTTTTGCCTTTCTGCAAAAGGCAAACTGACCTGAGCTGGATTAGTTCCAGGATCTACTCTAACACCTCCTGCCAGTAGCTGGCAGCTCTGGTCAGCTCTGGAAGGCAGGGGGATATCTTTAAAGACTAAATTAACTGTGGTAGTGTGGGGAGTTGCCTGGATACCAGAAAATATGCTGACAGGAAGAACTACTGTGAAATTGATGTTTCCCTTGTTGTCTGTGAACACAGGTGTGGACAAGACCAAGGACCAGCACTGGAAGGTGTGTTAGGTCTTGAGTGTATTGCAAGATGGAATAGTTTGCAACTTCACAGTGCTGCTCTGTGGATGGGACTGCTGGTTGTTGGGACTGTGTACCTTCAGGATCCTGCTGCTGATGGAGCATCATAGACAGGATTATCCAAAGCACTGCTGTTTACCTCTGCCTTGGAGCTTCAGCCAGGCCTTTCCAGCAGCTTCTTCTCTTGAGCTTCATGAGCAGAAGACAAGCCCAGGCAGGTCATCTCCACATGTGACTGTGCTCTAGTCAGGCAGCTCAGGCTGAGGCACGTTTCAGTGGCTCCTTGGTGCTTCTCCTGTACCTGAGACATGCATGCATCAAATGTTTCAGTTTACAGGGCAATCAACCTGGCAGCTTTCCTTGCTAAATTTACTTTTTAGAGTTACATCAGTGCTGTATCCAGAGGGAATGGAGGAACAGATGCAGCTTGTGAAGTCTGGCTTTAATTCACCCTCCTCATTTAATTTCCTGCCCAGCCTACTAATCAGTGAGTCTGCACTAGTGGCTTTGGGAATACCAAGGTTTTTCCACATCCAGAAGAATTCAATATAGTGGCTGAACTCTCAGGGTCTCAAGCAGGTTGTGTCACTTTGCTTTGAGACCACTTCATTATGGATTTCCCTCCCCAAGGAGCACTTGCAGACATTCTCCAGCTCATGGCAGCTGCACCTCATTTCCTTGCAGGGCCCGCTGGTGCAGGGAAGTTGTGTCACATTATCCTCTCTTAGCCTGTGTGGCATTCCCTTCTGGAAGTGCTTTCCTTCAAAGTTTTCAGCCCCAGGCCTTGATTTTCAGGGCCACACACTTCTTTCTGGGGCTGTGCCCAGGGCAGCTCTGCTGTGCTGGCAGATGTGCTGCTGGGGCCATTTGGGCCTTGTCACCTCCCAGGGCTTCCATGGGCACCAGCAGAGCCTGGCAGGGGCTCCTTCCTCCCTCACAGGGCCCTGAGAGTGTCATTTCCAGGTACTCTTTCTCCAAGGACACTGGCACCATCTCAGCCCAGTGGTGCTGTCAGGCACTGCCTCAGACATTCAGGGCTGTCAAGAAGTGCCAGTGAAAAGGTTTCTGGCACTTTTGCTTTGTTTAAGCAGACTTCCTCTGTACTGGGTTTTTTTGGGCTCCTGTTAATTCCAGGCAGTGCTACTCTGTTGTTTAATCAGCCGGTGTCAAAGCTCTGGGACACAGGAAGGCTGCCTTTGCCTGGTAGTACCTATTTGGTGATACAACTGCTTTACCTCAGGTATTATAATCTGTACCAGATTGCTCTTTGCCTGCTAAAATGGACAGTTCAGATCCAGTTGTAATGCAAATTGCACAGTAGAATAAAAGCCTGTGGGGAACAAAATCCCAAATAAGTAGTTATGTCAGCCTTTGTTATGGCGTGATGGCTTCAACTCTGCTCGTGCTCTGTGAAGGATCAAGAGGAAAGAATCTGTTGTGCCTTTGTGCTTTATAGGCAGGAGCTCGATGTGAGGCTGCCTTTAGGCACTGGCGGCCCTGACAGTGTGTGTGTGTGTGTGTGTGTGCGCGCGTGTGTGTGTGTAAACCTAACGGACAAATTACACCCACGCTGGAAATTTGATGATTGCCTTGTTTTTTCAAGGCTCTGTTTTATATACTACAGGCCAAACCCATGGGGTAATTGCCAGTCTCTGCACAGGGGCTGAGATGACATGATGAGAGAGAAGCATAGAGATGCTGAAATTTCAATCTGCCACATAATGTGCTTCTAATCCTGATGGCCTTGTAATTGTGATGCTGTCACTGGTACCATTGCAGTTGTTCTTGTCACTGTTTTCCCATGTTTGGTGCTAAATATTGTAAATGTAGAGAAATATTTAGATTTGTAAAGGAATCTAAATTTACAGTGGAAATAATCACACAGGAGCCTGAAAATGGAAGAGGTATGTTTTCATTTCAAATGGCAAGTCATAGCAATGTAAAGCAATATTCTGTTGATACAGCTGCTCTTACTGCTTTGCTTTATCCCAGGCCACGGGTAACGAAGAATGAAGCTGAATATTTTCTCATCCTTGAGAATTGAGGTGGGAATATGTGTGTCCATAAAGTGTTGGAGCTGGCAGTCAGGAGGTCAGTGTTGTAAGGGTTACCTGAGCTCGTGCACAGCTGGTGAGATCCAAAGTGAGAACAATGCCTGTTCATATCTCCTGGAAATGGTGGCTTCCAGAGGAAGGAACAAGCATGAGAGGTGGTGAAGCCAGATGGATGAGCTGGGTTCAAAGTCCTTCTAGAAGCTATGGCAACATAACTTATGTATCTGCTCAGAAAAGCCTTTGCAACTACTGTAAATGACTTTAAGTGACCTTATTTTCCTGCTAGCAGTGAAATAAGCAGCTTCAATGGGGAGGAGTAAACCCACTTCATTACACATGTTGCTAGGAATAACACTCTTACTGGTTATTACTAATAACCCAATCTATTACTGGTAGTGTGGCTGCTGAAACAGGCAGTCTTATCTGCCAGGGAATAACTGTACTGCTCCAAAATTTTGAATGACAGTGGCACAAGGGGAGTCAGAAGGGCCTCAAGGGAGGAAACTCAGTAGGAAGCAAAGTCAACATGGTGCACTTTGGTTATAAACAACGTCTGTGACAAATTAAATGTGTCGGGGCCAGTCTATCTTTTGAGGATTTCTGCCAGGCAACCTGAGCTCTTTACATCCTGATGTTTTCCTAAGGTCATCCTTGGTGTTTGTATGTCAGGTCACGAGGTGATGGAGGTGTTGGCTTATTGGCTGATCTTCTGGAGGAAAGAGGGGCTTCTAGACCTTGGATGTGCAAAGCAGCTCAATCTCAGGGCTTCAGTCCAGGATTGAGGTAAAATTTCTTCATTGAAATCAATGGCAAAGTACCTGATCACTACAGCAGAAGTGTTCTCACACAGCAATGCCCTGGGAAGTTCTCTTTTCTCCTGGGAGATTCTTCTCTTATTTATGCAATTATAAATTCATTGTAGCTCTGTTTGAAACAACCGTTTTCATCTGATGCAAATAAGATCAAGATCTGGCCCAGGCTGCTTTTGTACACAATGGAAACTGACTGAATTATGGAAAACAGGAAACAAATCTAATGTAAATCTGAATGGAAATATGCTCTGTTACATCAGCATAAATTGGAAGGAAGTCTGTTGATTCTAGTGGAATTCATCTGGATTTACACCAGACTGTGTCTCAGCATTTGTCAGTTGGCTGCACACAACTCAAAACATCAAAACTCAACATCAAAACTCAAACCATGCCACCTCATCTGAATAGGTTTGAACATTTTCTCCCTTTTCCTTTATATTTAAGCAGTTGCCTCTGCAACCTGATGGCTGATTAGCCTTTTCAAACAAATAAACCCCTGCAAACAGGCATCAACAAATAAACCTTGCTCTTACTATCGTTTGCAGTGAGAATAAATGATGAATATGAAGTACTGAGCTTGGGTTTAGAGTCACTTAAACCTGCTCCTGCTCCTCTGTGTTCATACTTTAGAGCATTAGGATTGAGCTCACAGGGGGCAGATCTTGACAAAACCATTCTGATTTCTCCAAAGGATGGAAATCCCAAAGGCAAATTCATTGCCTTCTCGTGGCACTGGGAAGGGCCAGCAGCTTCCTAGGATGCATAGGATTTACCCTTCAGTAGATCAGCAAAATACTGTCATTCTTTCACTCTTTCTGTCTTCAGGAAGATGGTCAGAATGGAGCCAAAACCCTCCCTAATGGAACTAATAAGGAATTATTAGGGAATTGTCACACTCTGTTTCCACAGGCAAGTTCCTGCGCAGGGGAACGTGGGAACCTGTGGGTACTTTTCATGGGAAAGCAAGAGGGTTAATTAATGCCTGAGCAACAAATTTGACTCCCTGAGTGAAAGCCACTGGAAAAACACAATATCTGAGCAAGAGCATAGCCACATCAACCCTTCCCTTGATTCTCTTATACCCCAGCTTCTTACTTAATTCTGTTTTCAGTCTGTGCTCATGTTTCTCTTCAGATAATTAGTAAAATGCATCTTAATTAAAACAAGAGGAGGAGAAGAATACAGAAACAAATGAAAGTCCTAAGTCAGTGGGATTTAGGGAGGGGCAAAGCCAGTATTCAAATACAAATCTTGAGGCAAACATGATAATAACAGTTATGGAAAGTGCATCAAAGGTAAAGAGTTTTCTGAAAATGGGGTAACTTTCTGAAAAAAAAGACTGGCTAGAGCCTGATGTCCAAGTACCACAGAGACTGACCTGAAATCAGTTTCATGGGGAGAAGAGCTGGGGGAGCTGTGTGGTCAGCATTCTTTGTTTTCCTTTGTCACTGATTTTCTGTATGAACCTCAGGAAATTAACTGGGCAAGATTTTCACAAGTGACCCCTGTCTGTAGTTGCTATGATGTGTAGATGTTCAACCTGAGATGTACCAAATCACCCTTTGCTGCACCAGTAGCAGCAGAGCACATGTGGATCTCAACCACAGGATCTGAATGTGCCAGCCACTCCCTCTCAGAATCCTTATGTTCCCATCTGTAAACTGATAAAATAAATACTTTCCTAATTTTATAAAACTATTAAATGCTTTCTAATGAAACAGAGGCTTTTGAAAGACCTGGGATTATTATTACTTACTTTTGTTTAGGCTTATTCCTAAGCCTATGTTAAAGGCCAGGTTGGATGGGGCTCCGAACAGCCTGGTCCAGTAAGAGGCATTCCTGCCTATGGCAGGTGCTTGGAACTGAATGATCTTTAAGGTCCCTTCAAACCCAAAACATTCTGTGATTCTATGATTCCTGCAGGTGAGCTCTGCCTAATTTGTGAGAGCTTTCTCACTGCTGCAGACTCTGTGTAGAGTGCAATGTATTTGCTGTCTTGTTTCAGTCCTTCACAGCATAGCCTGGAATAAATACCCACAGCCAGGATGCACCTGCCAGTGGTGGTGTTGATACACAAACAGAAGCTCCAGCTTACTCATTATCACAGCTTCTATAACTCTGTTTGCCATGTACCACAGGCTTATTCCATCCATGCCGGTGAAGTTGGCATGTGTGAACTTGGAAGCAAAGAGAGAGCATTAATGAGAAGAAGCTGGGTCTCAGCCCAGTCCCTGTTCTCTGAAGGATGGCACCATATGCAGTCATACAATCATAGAATCATGGAATGTCCTGAGCTGGAAGGGACCCACAAGATCATCGAGTCCAGCCCCTGGCCGTGCCCAGACCCCCCAACAAGCCCACCCTGAGCATCCCTGAGAGCGCTGTCCAAACGCTCCTGGAGCTCTGGCAGCCTTGGGGCCGGGCCCATTCCCTGGGGAGCCTGGGCAGTACCCAGCACCCTCGGGGGGAAGAACCTTGCCCTGAGATCCATCCCAAGCCCTAGAGCAGAGCTCAGCCCCTGCCCCTCCGCCTCCCCTCGGGAGGAGCTGCAGCCCCCGAGGAGCCTCCCCTCAGTCTCCTCTGCTCCAGAGGGCTTGCACTAGACTGAAAATACTTGTAATCCTAGGGAACCAGCTAAAGTAAATTTTCCAACCTCCTTGGAGAGTCTCAGCTGCATCACTGGTCTTTACTCACTGCCTGTAAATGATCCAAGTGCACATGAGAATAAAGCTGATATTGAGGTGGATGCAATGGAGCCACCAAATAGAGTCAAGAAAGAATCACAATTGCAGAGACATTTTCTGCTCCAGCAATACATGAGGATGTGGGGCAGTTTTTTGTGTTTATAGGAGTAAAACTCTTTAGGCAAGGACCTTAAAAGGGGGAATAATTATAATTTACTTTTCGCACCATACAGTGGGGAATCAGGCCCCAGCTTTTAGCTACAAGCTTTAGCTAGAAATGCTGTGTAAGGACTGTGCTGTACAGTCAGTACAGAAATTTGGTACAGTCTCAGTACAGAGATTTACTGACTCACATTGATTTCAGAACTGCCTTCCTCAGGGAATGGCACTGTTTTATTCCAGTATGGTTGTGAGGCCCTACACTTGATTCTGATCTTATATTTTGAAACATTGAGTGATTTTTGGTGGGTATATGCCTGACTTACTTGCATATGCATATAATGTGCCTTCACGAGCTGATACAACTTTGATAAGATTCTTATTTAAGTTATTCTTCTAATTAAACCCTATTATGTTGGGAAGAATTCTGTCAATTTCCTCACAGAGACACTGAGCTGAGTCTTACAGCAGGAATCAGGTTTGCCCATGATGGCAATAGAACAGGTTAGCCTGTAAACCCAGAGTAAATTTGCAAACTCCATTTGTTAAAAAGAAATGCATTAATGGATTCTGTGACTGCTCTCCTGAAATGTCATTTGAATAGTTTTGACTGTGAGTTTGTTTTATTCCTGGGAAATTTCACAGTACAAAAAGACTTTTATTTTCCCTTCTTCATTTGCCAAGAATCTCTTTGGAAATTGTTTGTAATATAGACTGAGGTTTGGGCCTGATCTTAGCTCACATAAACAGATGCATCTCTATTGACTTCTGTAGAAAGATTCTGATATACCGGAGCTGAGGATCAAGGACAAGAAAATGAAAGAAAGAAACTGCTAGGAATGAAGCTTTTTGACAGGGGAGTAGTTGCTGCAGGAAACATGTAATTGCTTAAAAAAAAAAAGAAAAACCAACCTTAAAGAACCACTATTTTTTCTAACATTACAAGCTTATTCTTTGGGATATGAAGGCCTAGAACAAGTCTTCCTGACCCAGTGCTGTTCTTCCATTAATCCCTTTTTAGGCTGTTAATTTGAGGCCTTTCCCACTGCTTTCCTGCTCTGCCTCCCAGGGCGTGTGCAGGAAATACTGGGTAGTTTGAATTAAAATATTCCACTGTGAAAAAAGTAAAAAAAAATAAAGTCTTCACTGATAGCGAAGTGGAGAATGTGGTGCTGTGGAAGAGTCTGGATTATTTTAGATTATTTTAGTGCTTCTAAAAGTAAATGCTCAAAAGCCAAATGCAGATAACGTTTTTGGATTGACATGTAACAGATGTGTTCGGATCAAGAAGAGACAGTGACACAAGGCAGAAGTGGGAGTAAGGAGAACAACTCATAGACTAATGAGAAATTAACATGGGCAAGAAAATGAAAAAAAGAGGAAAAATTAGTTAACTGAAGCCTTGGTCTAGCCTGAGCTCATTAGCAAGTGCTCAGAGAGTTGTTCAGAAAGACTCCAGACATAAAGTCATGAGACAAGGCTGTGACAATGAAGAGCATAGAAAAGCACAATTCAGCGTTTAAGCCAGGATTTAAGCTCTGGATACATTTGGCTAGATCTACTCAGTTCTGGCTGCTTACAACTTCCTCTGAAGCTTTCAGTACAGTAAAAAGATGCTGGAAGAGAGGAGTCTCCTGCTGCCAAGCCACCACCATCACTGGGGAGGTGACTCTTTTGTAGTTTAATAGTGGGTTGTCAGTTTTCAGGCCTGTCAGTGCAGTGCCTTTCTCCCACAGCCAGGAGCTCATTTTGTGTATATGAAAGAGAACAGAGCTGCTTTTTCTCTTAAAAGGAGAGAAGAAATATTCTTCCTGACAGAATCCCAGTGAAGGCGCTGGACTATCAAATGCTGGGAGAATTCCCCAAAAACATTAATTGTGATTAATGCTGAAAGCAACATGAGCTACACTGAGAGATGATGCAGGAAAGGTGCCCTTGGTAGGGCTGGGCCATCCAACAGCTGCAGGTGCTTGAGGAAGGAACACTAGGCCAGAAGATGCTAGGAAGTGGCCTTTCCTATTCCAGCTTCTGGAAGCTCATGCTATTCCCAGCACTTCTGCTTCCCGTTGCTGTTGACTGAATTATTGTCACTGTCACTTTGAACAAGGGGAAAGGAGAGGAAGCTGGTCTACAAACCAATTTCCAGTGTGCTTCCCTGTCTGTCTCTTCCTTACAAGTAGTTGTTTTTTCATAGGGATAAAAGCAGAAGATAATTCCTTTAAGTGGCAATTGAGCTCCAGGTGGCCGTAGAAAGCTACAGCTTTCTCCAGCTCCTGCAAAGACACAGCTTGAGTCACAGGTTTCCCTACTTCCCTAAACCAGGAGATTTTTTTTCCTGGATTTGTTTTGTGCTTGGTGGTGATTATACTTTTCCAGGGTAGCCCAAAGTGATTGGAGCAGCAGGGAAAATGACAAGCTGAGGTTGCTCCATAAACTGGCTGTGCCCTTTTTCCAAAATGCACTGATTTCATAGAGTAGGGAACAGTTTCATCTCAATCCTGATTTGAACTCCTTGAGTTTCATCTGCAAAACCTCTGTTTTCCAAGCAGTGAGCCCAGTCCAATTTCCTTTTACCCCAGCTGTGCATTTGTAAATCTCATTTGTAACCAGACTATTAAAAGTGAATTATCTGAGCCAAGTGGCAACACTGGAATGGAAGAAGGGCTGTGGGGAGGGAAGCAACAATTCCCTCTGGTGCCTCAGAGGCTTCATCTGCCCCTTTCTGCCCATACTGAACTGCTGTTACTACAGCAGGATGGTTGCCATTGACAGTTGCAGACATGGCTGCCTTGTTTTTCCCTCCAGACCTGGCTGAAAGTGTCCCTCTTGGCCGCAACGTGGGGATGTTTTCATGTGCTTGCCACGGAGCTGGAAAGAGGAGAGCGAAGTGCCTGTGTGGTGCCAGCTCTGCTCTCCCTGGAGAACGCCGTGACTGAGAGGCCCCGAGCTGACAGCTCGACTTGCCATCATGTTTCTGTGGCATTGCCATCATGCCTGCTTCCAGGGATGTCTGACAAACTAGAGAAAATTAGGATAAGGGATTATCAGGTGTTAAGTGGTGCTGCTGAGCCAAACCTCCCACTCCACTCATTATGAGGAATCTGTTTTCTCGGGGGGACTACCGTGATCCAATGGAGCAGGGTGAGGAGGTGGCAGCTGCTGCATCTGGGCTTGTGTGAAGCAGTTGGGGCTCCTCCAGATCCTGGCTTGTCTCTCAGTGAAGGTCAGCTCCTGTTTCTAGTGAAGCAATTTCCTATTTCACAGTAGGGGCTACATCAAGCCTTTAAGGAATTATATTCTGTTTCAGTTCATAGCTCAACCTCTCAGAAATTCCCTTTTGATCTCTCCTGTTCTGTTCAGGAATTGCTCTGAGTGTATATTGACTTTCCATGGAAAGTGGACATGACCAAGTAAAATCCCTTGCTGCTGAAGATTTTACGGGAGTAGTATTGACTTTCCCACAGATACTGAAGAGAATAGAAAGTCTCGATTCTCTGTGAAACTAAACTAAAATTGTATTTGATGAGTTCTATAAAATGCTTATAGATTTGTTTTTTCTCCTACTTTGGCTGAAACATTTTTTTTTTTTTTTTTTTCCTCACAAAGGCCAGATGCAGAATATTTACGGAGGAGAAATTTTTTTCTTTGAAAAATATTTATACTGGCAAATCACTGAAAATTGGTGAACTCCCAGATGCATCTAAATAAATAACAGCAGAACTTTGGCTGCATTTGCAAAAAGGCCCCAGACATTGGATTTATGGGCTTCAGGTATAATTGGGATCTAAGTTAGGCTTACTGAATATTTACAGATTTTATATAGTT